TTGGATTCTCTGTTTCTCTCTCTCTCTCTGTCTTGGATTCTCTGTCCCCGACCCCCGCCTCCCCCTGCACTGTCCTCTCTCTCTCTCTCTCATAGATAACAAGGGCATTTAGAAAGCCAACACAGGTGGAAAAGAAGGGGTCTGCCAGCAACCATGGAAGTCAGCTTGAAAGTGGATCTCTGTTGCCCCAACTCCCCACTTGAGAATAAGACCCCAGTCCTGGCCAACAGTTTGACTGCAACATTATAGGAGATCTTGACCCAGAGGCACCAAGCTAAGTCATGCCCAGAGCCCTGACTCACATACACTAGGAGATATGAATATTGTTCTGTCTCTCAATGTTGGGGTAATTTGTCCTACAGCAATAGATAACTACGCCGAAGCCTTTGACTGCATGAATCACAATAAACTGTGGAAAATTCTGAAAGAGATGGGAATACCAGAACACCTGACCTGCCTCTTGAGAAACCTGTATGCAGGTCAGGAAGCAACAGTTAGAACTGGATATGGAACAACAGACTGGTTCCAAATAGGAAAAGGAGTATGTCAAGGCTGGATATTGTCATCCCGCTTATTTAACCTATATGCAGAGTACATCATGAGAGACGCGGGGCTGGAAGAAGCACAAGATGGGATCAAGATTGCCAGGAGAAATATCAATAACCTCAGATATGCAGACGACACCACCCTTATGGCAGAAAGTGAAGAACTAAAGGGCCTCTTGATGAAAGTGAAAGAGGAGAGTGAAAAAGTTGGCTTAAAGCTCAACATTCAGAAAACTAAGATCATGGCATCTGGTCCCATCACTTCATGGGAAATAGATGGGGAAACAGTTGCTGACTTTATTTTTCTGGGCTCCAAAATCACTGCAGATGGTGACTGCAGCCATGAAATTAAAAGATGCTTACTCCTTGGAAGGAAAGTTATGATCAACCTAGACAGCATATTAAAAAGTGAGACATTACTTTGTCAACAAAGGTCTGTCTAGTCAAGGCTATGGTTTTTCCAGTAGTTATGTATGAACGTTAGAGTTGGACTATAAAGAAAGCTGAGCGCTGAAGAACTGATGCTTTTGAACTGTGGTATTGGAGAAGTCTCTTGAGAGTCCCTTGGACTGCAAGGAGATCCAACCACTCCATCCTAAAGTCCTGGGTGTTCATTGGAGAGACTGATGTTGAAGCTGAAGCTCCAATACTTTGGCCACCTGATATGAAAAGCTGACTCACTGGAAAAGACCCTGATGCTGGGAAAGATTAAGGGCAGGAGGAGAAGGGGATGACAGAGGATGAGATGGTTGGATGGCATCACCGACTCAATGGACATGGGTTTGGGTGAACTCTGGGAGTTGGTGATGAACAGGGAGGCCTGGTATGCTGCGGTTCATGGGGTCGCAAAGAGTCGGACACAACTGAGTGACTGAACTGAACTGAATAGATAATTAAGGCACTTACACTACACTTACTCACATTTCTTGGAACCTTAAAGAAACCCAAGGGATATTTTTTTAAAAAGGAATAAAATATGGGATTCATAATACAAACTATGGCCCTATTATTTTCTCATACATTTAGATAGGAATTGTTGCATGGTTTTAAAACTTAGACCAATTAAATTCAGGCAATAATTAATACTTACCAGCACATCCTCAGGACTATAATTCTCATAAATGAAAGTACATGCTTACAACATCAACATATGACCTGTATTTTGAACATATTTCTCTGGAAAATCCTGACATGAGAAGTTGAGAGAATTTTGATGAGGAAATTGGCTCAGCCAAGTAGAGGTGCTTACAATAGACAGAGACAACCTGTTCCCTGTACTTCACAGTTTTCTGCAGAATCTATAAATAGCTAACATTGTTTTCATTGATGCCTTGAGCCAGCCAGCTCTAGGGCAGGCTGCCTAGACTGACTGCTTTGCAAAATGCTAGCTTGTCAGTTTCCCTCTAGAAAAGCAGACAAGACTCATGGTTTCCAGACATCCCACATCTCCCAGCTCTCTTTTATAAATCCTCCCTTTTAAAAGCTCTGTTGACAAGCACCTATTGATTCTCTTTCATATGAGTAAATCTGTTTGCATATAATTAACTTCTTCCATATTATTCTTTGACAGGGGTATACATACAAGGAGTCTATGAAAACGTGTCAAAAGGTTGAACCTGGGACATTCTCTTATTTAAAGGTCAGAAGCAAAGCAGTTAATGAGGGTATCAACGAAGTTGGAAAAACTAGAAGAAGGTATCCTTCAGAAAACCAAGAGAAGAAAGCCAGAATACTGGAGTGGGTAGCCTATCCCTTCTCCAGGGGATCTTCCTGACCCAGGAATCAAACCAGGATCTGCACTGCAGGTGGATTCTTTATCAACTGAGCTATCAGGGAAGCCCATCCTTCATGAAACCAAGAGAAGAAAGCGTTTCCAGAAGTAGGAATAACTGTCAAATGTTGCTGAGTGATTCTATCTAGGATTTGGCAACTTGGAAGTCACTAGTTACCCCCACAGGTGTGGTTTCAGTGAACTGGGGGCAACAAAAGCCTAACTGAAGTAGGATGAGGAGAGAATGAGGGATCTATTGGTTCTGGCTGTAAAGGAGATCAGAAATGAAATATGGTTGGAGCGGTATGGTGAAGGAGGAAAGTGAGGATTGATTTTCAAAAAAATATTAAGTTTTGGAGCATTATAGATAATACTTTCAGATGATTCAATTCAGTTCAGTTCAGTCGCTCAGTCATGTCCAACTCTTTGTGACCCCATGAATTGCAGCATGCCAGGCCTCCCTGTCCATCACCAACTCCCGGAGGCTACCCAAACCCATGTCCATTGAGTCAGTGATGCCATCCAGCCATCTCATCCTCTGTCATACCCTTCTCCTACTGCCCTCAATCCTTCCCAGCATTAGGGTCTTTTCCAATGAGTCAACTCTTCGCATCAGGTGGCCAAAGTATTGGAGTTTCAGCTTCAGCATCAGTCCTTCCAATGGACACCCAGAACTGATCTCCTTTAGGATGGACTGGTTGAATCTCCTTGCAGTCCAAGGGACTCTTCAAGAGTCTTCTCCAACACCACAGTTCAAAAGCATCAATTCTTTTGTGCTCAGCTTTCTTCACCCTCCAACTCTCACATCCATACATGACTACTGGAAAAAACATAGCCTTGACTAGACGGACATTTGTTGGCAAAGTAATGTCAGGTTGGTCATAACTTGCCTTCCAAGGAGTAAGCGTCTTTTAATTTCATGGCTGCAGTCACCATCTGCAGTGACTTTGGAGCCCCCCAAAATAAAGACTGACACTGTTTCCACTGTTTCCCCATCTATTTCCCATGTAGTGATGGGGATGCCATGATCTTAGTTTTCTGAATGTTGAGCTTTAAGCCAACTTTTTCACCCTCCTCCTTCACTTTCATCAAGAGGCTTTTTAGTTCCTCTTCACTTTCTGCCATAAGGGTGGTGTCGTCTGCATATCTGAGGTTATTGATATTTCTCCCGGCAATCTTGATTCCAGCTTGTGCTTCTTCCAGCCCAGCGTTTCTCATGATTAAAAATTACAATAAAACATTATATATAAAAAGTCTCCCTCCCACTCCTGATTCCCATTTGAATTATTTCCTGTAAATTCTTCAATGCTTTTCTTCCTGCACACATAAGAAAATGGTATTATTTGTCCCTATTTTTATTGCAAAGGCAAGAAACTAATACATACATAATGTTCTCCATGTTTCTTTTTCTTTTTCTTTTTTTTTTTTTTTACAAACTAAACAATACATACATGCAACTGTATCGATAGGATAAACTTTCCAGAGTGGGATTGCATATGCTAAACGCACATTGATAGATATTTCTCAATTGCCATCCATAAGAGTTGTATCAACTTATACTCCTATCAGTCATGTATTTCCCACAGTCTCATTGAGTGCTATCAAACTTTTTTGATTTTTAACAATCTGAACAGTGGAAAATGGTATCCGAGAGGATTTTCTTTTAGAGATGAAAACTAGAAAAACAGAAAGAAAGCCTGAATATGCAGGGGAGAGGGAGGGGGAGAACCTGCAGAAGATTCCTTTTCTAGGTTGGAGGAGCAGAATCCACTGCATTGGTGATTCATTTCATAGACCCAGATGCAGGGGGTTGTTGGTACATTTTGAGGGTACAAGTCTCTACTGATTGCTTCTGTTTCTCACTTGAAATAAGAATTGAGGTCATAAGGTAATAAACCAGGACAGGGGAAGGAGTGTTGAAGATGTGAAAGACCAGGTGTAAACTGCTTTGCTTAGAGGGTAGGGGAATAGTCTGCCCAGGGTAACTAGGATTGTTGAGCAGCTCTGAAGACCCCCTTGAGACTTGCAGCCTTAAACTGAAAGTGAATTTTAAAGGAAAAGGAGCCTTCGTGAATGAAGAAGACCACTGCTTCAGGGAGATGTGAGAGAAAAAAAAAAAAAAAAAAAGCAAAGCATTTATCTGGTGGCGGTTTAGTTGCTAAGTCGTGTCTGATTCTTGCGACCCCATGGACTGTAGCCCATCAGGCTCCTCTGTCCATGAGATTTTCCAGGTAAGAATACTGGAGTGGATTGCCATTTCCTTCTCCAGGGGATCTTCCCAACCCAGGAATCAAACCTGGGTGCCCTGCATTGTAGGCAGATTTTTTTACCAACTGAGCTATGAAGGAAGCCCAAGCATTTATCTAGTATTTAACAAATATTTTGGCGGACTCTCCTATATAGAGACTATTGCTGGGTGCTGGCTTGTCTCTTACTTTAAAATTTTTATTATCATTATTTTTGGCCACCAAGCAAAGTGTGGGATCTTAATTAACTGACCAGAGAAGGAACCAGGGGTCCCCTGCATTGGGAGTGCAGATTCTTAATCACTGAACCACCAGGGAAGTCCCTGGCTTGTCACTTAAAGCATATCACAAGCATATTTAAGTTGGCTGTTCACAAAATCTGATTAAGGTAAGATTATTCACTCTGCAAACAAAAATACAAAAAGTTACCATGGGCATTTTGACTTTTGATAGCCTGGACAAACAGCTTCTCATAAAAACACGCGCATATACAAACTTGCAGACAAATGCAGGTGGTTTAGAATCACAAACAATCTCTCAAATTTTAGGGAAATAAAACTTACCTATATTTTAAACAGTGTACTGTTTTAGTATATTTTGAATGATTCAATTTACACAAAGCTTTCCAGGAGCTACTTCATGTTGTGTATTTGATGCCTCAGTAAGGGCTCAGAATCTGAAATGATTTTACGTTTCCAAAAAGTTTAAAAAATTGTATAGAGTTCCCCTATACTCTTCTCCCAGAACTCCCTGAAGTTTATATCTTACATAACTGTAGCTCAATTATCAAAACTATTGATAACAATACTATTGTTTCTTGATACACCTTATTCAAATTTCATCAGCTGTCTCATTCAAGTCCTTTTTCTGTTCCGGAATCCAATACAGGATTTCACTTTGCGTTTAGTTGTCTCGGACTTGACTTTCTTCTTTTAATCCAAAGTGGCTGTGTGTTCTTGGGCAAAATTAATGTCCAAACCTTTCCTCTGTCTTACTAGACGTGATGTGATTAACAATCAGTAAAAATACATGTGGAGTGTTTTCGGACACGTCAAAGACAACGAAATTGTTCTAATTGCTCAAAGCTGGGCATATCTAGCGTGGCCTTTCGTTCAAATTAAAACAAAAATAAAGCAAATAGAAGAGTATCATTGTTGTCGAGAAGTTTGTCCTAAAGTAGGACCCGTAGCTTCCCGCTCGACCGGCCAGGATGCGCTCCCTCTAATTGGGCAGCGTGTGTCCGCGCTGACGCAGAAAGGCTGCCCCATTGGTCCGCGCAGTCGGGACTCGGGCGGCTTTTCTCTTGGTGCTCAAGGTGCGGAGCCACTTCTCTTCCTCCAGCCGAGGGTTACCGTTCTTTCCGTAGTGCCATCCTGAAGGATCGGACTGAACTAGGCCAGGGAACTGCACTGAGGTCAGCCGGGAAGAAGCGGCGGGGATAGGGTCTGAGGTGGGAGGTGGCAGAGTACAGGTGGTCGGCAAGCCTGGACGAGATGGCCCGGTTGGCGCGGCCCCTAGACCCCTGGGGTCTTTGCCGCTTCCCGGCTCCCTCCGCTGGCCTCACTTCCCTCGGGATCCCCCAAGGTTCCGCGCCTCTCTGCCGCCCTTCTGCGGGCCCCGCCCTCGACTACTTCCTCCGAAGGGCCCCGCCTCCTCCGCGAGCCCTCCGGCGGGCCCCGCCCTCGGCCCCTCCCCTTAAGGGCACCGCCTCTTCCCCACCCCCTCCGCTGGCACTGTCCTTGCCGCCGCCTCCCCAAGGCACCGCCCTCATCGTTTACGCCTCCCGGCGGAGTCTCCTGTCTTTTCACCTTGCACCGCCTGGGCCCCTCTGGCTCTTTAAGTTAGGTTTGGTCCCATTTCTCTCACCGCCCCCCGCTCCCGGCTTTGCTCCTGCAGCCTTTTTTTCTCAGCCCTGCCACTTTGCACCCACCTCTTCGTCTGGCTGCCCGGGTCCCTGGGTATCCCCACAGATCTGGGCTGTCTCTGTGAACTTGGCAGATTGTGCAGAGGCCTCGTGCTGGGCATTGGCGATCTCGTTTTCAAGACCTCCCCGCCCGGTGGGAGAAGTCACTGTTACGGAGTCTTAACAGGGGCGTGGATGCCTGTAATCTAGGAAGCATGGTATTGCAGTATTTAAAGGAAGGCATTCTGAGTTACAGCCCCTCCTGGTGAGATCCTCAGGCAGACCTGTGAGGGACTAAGCTGTACCTTTCTCCCCAAATGTCCCAGGCTTCTTCTGATGCAGAAGCTTGGCTCTCACCATGGTCCTTTAAACACTGGTGGTGTGGTTTAGTCGCCAAGTCGTGTGCAACTCTTGCGATCCTATAGACTGTGGCGCTCCAGGCTCCTCTGTCCATGGAATTTCCCAGGCAGGAATACTGGGATGGGTTGCCATTTCCTTCTCCAGGGGATCTTCCTGACCCAGTGTTGAACGGGCGTCTTCTGCATTGCAGGTGGTCTCTTTGCCAACCGAGCCACATTAGGACACTTAAACACTGGGGGGTTATTAAATCTTGCCATGGGCCCCTCTTTTAACCAAAGTTGGTAAGGCTTTCTAACCCTCACCGGGAAGTGGAAGGCAAGAGATGAATGAGTGATGGGCTTAGACAAGCAGTGTCTCAGCATCCCACTCTTGGTGCTGCTTTTTGGATTTTTTCCTGAGAATTCTTATGCAGTTTTTCAGTTACAAGCAGTCTTGCTTGGTTGGTAAATCAAAAAGTATGTGGAGATAAAAATCTTGTCACTCTGTAGATTCCTCTGACCCACCACCCTCCTTCAGGGTGTCCTGTGTGTACACTGGTCAGAAGACAGTAACCCACACCTGCAGTCTCTTGGAGTTAGGAACCTCTGGGATCTGAGCCCAGCTCAACTGCTTGCTATAAACTTTTGGCAGTGAAACTTCACTCATCTGAGCCTCAGTTTTACCTTCTACAAAAAGAGCGTGATAAGCCCTGTCACAGGATCGTCGTGTGGATTTGCTGAGATCCTGCTTATGAAAACAGTCACTTTTAGGGTCTTATGAATAGTAGGATCTGAGCACAGGTGAGCCCCAACTCTTCAGATTCATGTCTGTCTGATCCAAACCAGCTCAGAGCCTGCTGTTGCCGCCCTCTCCCAGGCACGATGACGACCCTGGATGATAAGTTGCTGGGGGAGAAGCTGCAGTACTATTATAGCAGCAGTGAGGAGGAGGACAGCGACCACGAGGACAAGGACAGAGGCAGAGGTGCCCTGGCTGGCGGTTCCACGCCCGCAGACGCGGACTTGGCGGGCGAAGGCATCTCAGTTAACACAGGTACTGGAGATCCTGGGCTCTGGGAATAGGTTTAAAAAATGTCCATTAAATATGCATCAGAAGTCTCATGAACACGTCTCTAATTCCCGTTGCACATCTAGAGACAACCCAGTGTTACCATTTCACGGTGTTAGTATCGCACTGCGCGATATTAACAGTATGCATAGCAGTGTACTGATGATTCAATTAGCCTGGCCTGTGTTTTGAGTCTAGCTTCTCAAATGAATAGGTGTTTGATATCCCATAAATCATGGGTATGAGTATATTGGTAGTATAAATTCCTAGCCATTGCATATTTACACTTCTACATTTTATTATTTTCAAATTGCTGTCAGTTGAACTGGTACTGGTTTGTAGTTTAAGCAGGAGTGTGACAGTTCCCATATACATGACATTCTGCTGTGTTACCAAACTTTTTGGATAACCTGATGCCATCCTGATGGATGACAAATGGCACTTCACTGTAGTTTTAGTTTTTATCTTTTTAGAAGTGACAAGTCTTTTTAAAAAAATTTTATTTATTTTAATTGGAGGGTAGTTGCTTTACAATATTATGTTGGTTTCTGCTGTACATCAACATGAATCAACCACAGGTATACATATGTCCCCTCCCTCTTAAACCTCCATTCCACCCCTCTAGGTTCAGAGTGACGAGCCTGTTTTTCTAATTTTAAAGGATATGTTAATGTCCTCTGCTCATTTTCAAAATTGGGTACTTGGTCTTTTTCTTCTTAGGAATCTATATATTAAGGAAAATAATCTGTGGTTTGAGTTGCAAATATTTCTATTTTATTGTCTCTTGGTTTTTCTCTTTTCTTGGCAGAAAGTGGTTTTTTTTTTCAATTGTTATGTGCTTGAAAGCATTATTTTATAGTTTCTTAGTTTTATTTCTTATGTAAAAGGCCTTTCTCCACTCGAGGATTATTAAAAAAGACTCCCATGCCTTTTAAAAAAAGTATTTTTATGATTTTGTTTGTTTGTTTAACACTTAACTGTTGATTTATTTGGAATTCATTTTGTTAAGTGGTAGGACTCCAACTTAATTTTTTTCATATTGCTACCCAGTTATTTCAATATCACTTACTGAATAAGCCATCTTTTCTCCATTGTTTTTTGTTTGTTTGTTTGTTTTTATTTTATTGGGCTCTAGGGGATGGGATGGGGAATACCTCTGTAAGTTATGCCCCGCTAGGAAGATGTCCATTCTGACTTTCCTGGGATAGCTTTCAGAGCCTTTTTCTTGGAGCCGCTGCTCTTGCTGGCAGCAGCCTCTTCAGGTCCACTGCTGAGTGGCTCCTCCTTGGACAATTTCCGCTTTTTCTTGGGGACCCTCTTGTTTTCTGACTCATCAGGGTCAGTAACTGGTTCCTCTTTGGGAAAAGATTTCTTCCTCTTGGGAAGACTTCCAGTACCAGCTGTCTCTTCAAGATCACTACTAACTAGCTCTTCCTTGGAAAAAGATTTCTTTTTCTTGGGTTTGGAAAAAGAGACAGATGGGTCTTCCATTCCATTCTCCTGAAGAGCCTCCTGGGGCTTTTGCTTTTTCTTCTTTTTGGGTCTTTCATTTGTCTCCTCACACTCCTCCGGGGCACTGCTATTTTCTGAAGAAGCCAGGGCAGTTGCAGCCAGCCTTTTCTTTTCCTTCTTCAAGCATTTCTTCTCCTGTTTCTTGAGCTTCCTAGTAATCTCGGCAGCCGCTTCCTCTGCCTGAACCATCGCCTCCTTCATGACATCCAGATTCTTTCGGGGAATCTCTCCAGTCTCATAGAAGGACAGCCGCTCCTCAACTTGTTCTCGAAGCTTCTCCCCAAAAACACTGGTGGGCACCTCAGAGAAGCAATCGAGTCGTGAGGCAATACTACATTTTTTTTGCCAGGTATTGGGAGATGCGACCTTTATTCTTGACAGCTGCTCGGTCAATGAAGGTAGAGTGCAAAATGAGTCTGTATTTTGGGGTGTTACCCCTTGTCTTCAAGGCTCTGGAAACTTGGTCCCTTTGCTGGGCCCAGAGAGTCAATGGGTCAGACCCCAGGACTGGCCATTTCTCTGTTGTTTTGAAATGCCAGTTCTATCTTGTACGAAATTTCTTCTTATATTTGCATCTTTGGCTGTACTTGGTAGCCTCTCCCACTGATTTGTCTTTTAACATCACAGTGTTGTTTTTCTGCTTTAATTACTCACCTGTTTATAACTGCACTGGGTCTTGGTTGCTTCGCAGGGGCTTCTAGTTGCGGTGCTCGGGCTTCTCACTGCAGTGGCGTCTCTGGTTGTGGAGCACAGGCTCTGGGGCCCATGGGCTTCAGTACTCGTGGCCCAGGGGCTTAGTTGCTCTACAGTCCGTGGAATCCTCCGGACCAGGGACTGAACCCCTATCCACCAGGGAAGTCCTCCCACACTGCTTTAGTTATTCCGTTATAATATGTTTTAGTATCTGGTAAGCCTGGGCCCCACACAGTACTCTTCTATGTCATTATTTTCTTAACTTCCGTTTCCTTACTTTTCCAAAGGAGCATGCACACGTGTGTAATCACATATTTTCATCAGAAATGCGTTAAATATATGGATGAATTTAGGGATAATGATGCCCTTGTGATGTTGTGTTCTCCTAGTCAGGAATATGGTGTTGATTTTCCATTTATTCAGGTCTTTCTTAGTGTTTCTTGGCAGCATTTTAAAGTTTTCTTCATACAGATATTTATATTTTTTTCCTGTGACGACAAATAAACCTTGACCTCCCAGTCTCAGTGTCTTGTGACAACAAAGGTTTATTTCTCAGTCATGTTACTTGTTGCCCTTCTGGATCACCAGCAGCCTTGCTTCTGCTTCACGTGTCCTGTCATCCCAGGAACTAGGCTGAAGGAGCAGCCTCTTTGGGGACACACTGTTCTCCTGACCAAGTGTGGAGAAAGAGGGCTGTTGGAGACATAGACGGCTTGTTAAGTTTTTGCTCAGAATTCAGTGGCCACAATAAGTCACATGGCCAAGCCTGCATCAGTGGGCTGGGGATACATGTTTTCACCCCAGAGGTGGTATTACAAGTCACGTGGTAAGGGGCCAGGCTATATAGCAGGGGGCCGGGAGGTTTGGGGTTAGTTTGAATAACAGGACAACCTGCCACAATCTTGTTATAAAAAGTCAGATAATACGGAAGTGTGGAAAGGAAAAAGTAAAAGTTCTCTCTCACCAGTCTCCTTAGATCTTACTTCCTGGATATACCCACTGTTAACAGTGGCCCTTTTTCTACATGCAAATATAGAGGTCATATAAATGTACATGCACATAGACAAATATATGTAAATATTTATACATGAACATGTAGTTCTTTTTCTAAAAATTGGAGGATCACACCGTGATATTGTTCTGCATTTTACTTTTTCTTTTTTGACCTAATATGTTTAGACACTTTTCATGGCAGGGAACCTATAGCTACTTTATTGTTTCCAAGAGTTGCTTTATTGTCCTTTGGGTAGATGAGTCTGAATTCATTTCACTCATCTGCTAAGATTGGGTCTTAGTGTGGCCCTTTAATTCTCACACACCGTCCTGCCATGGACATGCCTGTGTGAGCATCCCTGTGCTGTTGATGGAGCCAGCTCTGGACAGATGTGCCCTGGCCCCTAATTCCTTGCTCATCCTCGGTCACCTCCACGTTCACCCCCGACTCAGGTCCAAAAGGCGTGATCAATGACTGGCGCCGCTTCAAACAGCTGGAGACAGAGCAGCGGGAGGAGCAGTGCCGGGAGATGGAGAGGCTGATCAAGAAGCTGTCCCTGAGCTGCAGGTCCCATCTGGACGAAGAGGAGGAGCAGCAGAAGCAGAAGGCCCTCCAGGAGAAGATCAGCGGGAAGGTAATTAGCAGCGCCCAGGCCTCGCTCAGAAGCTACCCCTGATCTCCAGTATTATGAGCGCGGCACCTCCCACGTCTTGTGTAACATGTGTCGCTGTTGGGTTTACATCTCTTACGCTCACTGCTGGTCCCCCGCAGATGACTCTGAAGGACTTGGCGGTGATGAACGAGGACCAGGACGATGAGGAGTTCCTGCAGCAGTACCGGAAGCAGAGGATGGAAGAGATGCGGCAGCAGCTCTACCAGGGGCCCCAGTTCAAGCAGGTTTTTGAGATCCCCAGTGGAGAAGGGTTCCTGGACATGATCGACAAGGAGCAGAGGAGCACCCTCATCATGGTCCACATTTACGAGGATGGCATCCCGGGGACCGAGGCCATGAACGGTTGCATGCTCTGCCTGGCGGCCGAGTACCCGGCCGTCAAGTTCTGCCGGGTGAGGAGCTCGGTCATCGGGGCCAGCAGCCGCTTCACCAGGAATGCCCTCCCTGCTCTGCTCATCTACAAGGGGGGCGAACTGATTGGCAACTTTGTCCGTGTCACTGACCAGCTGGGGGAAGATTTTTTTGCTGTGGACCTTGAGGCTTTCCTCCAGGAGTTTGGATTGCTCCCGGAAAAGGAAGTTTTGTTGCTAACCTCTGTGCGTAACTCTGCCACCTGCCACAGTGAGGACAGTGATTTAGAAATTGATTGACCATCTGTGCTGGTGGCATAGACCTCTCATGGTTTGGGCTGGAAGACACATGTTCGCGTGTTTATTTTCATTCTTTTGTGTGATCTTCCGACTTTTCCCCGTTCTTCATAGTCCCTTCTATGATATGTCAGGTCAAGAAATTCTCTGATCAAATCAGTGTGCTGAATCACCTTGTGGTTCGCCATGAAGTGACTTAACATGTATAAACAGGAAGCCAGGCTTTTGAACTGTTTACTTAAGATCCTCTAGCGTGACATCTCTGTTATTGTTTCCAGTCAATATTTACATAGCATCCTAAAGACAGTGTCCTGAAAATTGTCTTCAGATGGTCTCAGAGGTCTCTGCCAGGTCCGGGAGTATAATCCTATAGTTAGTGTGTTATTTGCAACATAAATACTACATTTTCCTTCATCAGTGATCATATTATATTCACATGTAATCAAACTCATCACCATAGAAGGCAGTTAAATTTTTTAACCCTAAGACCCTGTTCTCCCTAGGGTCTTGTTTAAAGGTTCTGGACCACATATGTTTGCCCCATCAACAGGGGTGACCTTTGCTGCTGGAGTCGATGTCCTGCTCAAGTGTTGTTAAGTCTACAGTAGGAGGAAGGATGGAGACGGGCTTCCCTCTTGATGCCGGAAGAACAGCTTGACTTAAAAATTAGAGCTGGGATGGAGCTGGGAAGCATTTTTAAAGAAAGATCTTTCAATAAGATACCCCTGCTCACCTTTTCTCTGTTTCTCTTTTATTTAACAAAGTAAAAAATTTTTTTTATTTGTTTAATGTAGCTTTTGTTAATTTTTTTAAATATTGGAAAAGTAACCAATATTTAAGAAAGGAAAATTTACCAAAATACAGAAGCAAAAAAATAAAATTAGAATACTCTCTAATCTTACTACCTAGGATAAAACACTATTAATATTTTGGGATATTTCCTTCCAAGGTGTTTTCTTTGTATACACAGACATTTTGTGTGTTTGTTGTTAAAGAAAACAGTGGGATCATTCTGAACATACTGTTTTATAGTATGGTCAGCTAATATATCAAATGTTTTTCTGTGTTACTAAATACTCTTTTACAACATTTTAAAGTTGCTGTTTATTCCAGTGTATAGATGTGCTGTAATTTGCTTGGTGGTTGTCTCTTACCTTTTAAGAGGTAGTTCCTCTTAAAAAGGAAAACAGCAAAGACTTTTTATTAAAAAAGTAATTGATGTTCATTGTAGAAAATGTAACAATAATTGTTAAACTAAAAAGATGTAAAAAGCCTTATAATTCCACCAACCAAAAATAATCCCTGTTATCATTTTACAGGTATCTTTCTGGTCTTCTTTCTGTGTGTTTATGATAATGATTGTCTTTTGAGTTTTTTTCCTCTTATTTTTTTACTTTGAACTATGTACATTGTAGGGTCAGGAAAAATATAATCTGTTAATTAAATGTTAATTTTAAAGTTCAGTTTTGCTTTTCCTGGCTTTTTAGGAATTGACTAACTGTAATAAGGTCTTGACAGTATCTCTTGTAGTTAACCAGAAAAAGAAATTGCATGGTTTTTTTTTTTTAATTAAATAAGCTTATTGTAGAAAGTATTTGGGAAGTATAGAAATTAGAAACAGAGACAGCTGTTGTCAATGTTGTTGTTTATTTCCTTCCGGCTTTTTCAATATTTTTAGTAATATTGAGAGCTTATTGAATTTAGTTCTGTTTTGTTTAACTTAATGTGGTATCATAAATGCTTTGACACGTTAAATTCTAAATAAATAATTTTTAATGGCCTCATAATATTTCATCATTTGGATAGGCCATACTTTATTTAACCAGTTCCTTGATATTGGATATTTAGATTCTTAGCTTTTGGCTAAAACAAATAGCATCTTTGTATTTGGGGCTATATTTTGGATCATTTTCATAGTATAGACTTCTAGAAGAGGAATTATTGGGTAATAGAAATGTTTTAAAAGTTTTATAAGTCATCTTCGGTTCTCATTGGAAATGAAAACATGCTCTCCCAGCACCTTGACTTTGCCTTTCAAGAACAGAAATTCTGGGATAACGTGAATAGACATGGAATGGGGAAATCCTGTCCTAGGGGAAGTACAAACGGCACAGGCTTTGGAGCCAGACAGATCAAATCCTGTCTGTTCCTCACTGGTGTTGAAACTTCTGGTGAGGCACCTAGCCTTCTTGAAACTCAATTTCCTCACCTTGGCAATGGGAACAACAGTGCTTCATGGATTGTTCAGTTGTTTTCCATGTGTGATCCCAGAACTGCAGTGCCAGCTTCACTGGGGAACTTGTTAGAAATGCAAAATCTCAGGCTTCCCCCTGGACTAACTGCATCAGAAATTCTGGGAGTGGCCCAGCACACTTTTCACAAGCCCTCCAGGTGGTTCAAGTTTGAGGATCTCCAACCTGTTGATTAAGGTGAGTGACAGCAGCTGTCAAAACAAGGGCTCACTGCTGTTGTTTCCTTTTTTATTTGAGTAAGGGGCAGAAGGAGTTGAAACAGAAGAGCATTCAGGTCACTTCTCTTTGTTTACACTATCCTCCTTTTTGGTCATGGACTTGGGAGAAGGAATGAGAAACCAATACTTGTCTATTACAAATTGTCTCGGTAGTTTTCCAGATTGCACTTTCCTCTGGAATGAAAATCCCATGAAGGCATGAAATTTATTTTCCTCCCTGTGTATGGCATAGCCTCTATTCACTCTGGGACTAGGCTGACATTTAGAGGTTTGTGGGCAAGATAGAGAATCCTTCCATACCTCAGTTTCCTCATCTGAGAAGTGGGGATGAGTAACATGAGTCAATTCATAAAATACCTAGTCAACCTTCAAATAAGTGCTGTTTTTATGATCCTCAGCACCCACAACGGTGCCTGGCACTTGGTAAGAATTGAGTGTTTAATAATGAATATAAGGCACTGCAATGATGTAAAGTAATTAGCCTCCAACTAATAAAAATAAATGGAAAAAAAAATAATATAAGGGCTCATTGAAGGCCACATCCTTTCATGGCAAGTAATATTTCAAAGATGAAACCAAGACTTTGCAGAGTTAAGTAACAATTCCAAGTTACACAGCTAGAGGGCAGGGCAAGGTTTAAACCCAGGCCTGTGGCATTCCGAAATGTATACTATTTCCATGATGCTTGTTCTTAGCAAAGAAAGCAAAATGATCAAATGTCAATAAAATGATCGATTAGAAAAAAAGAGTGGAGAGAACAGGTTGGAGGAGGAGAAACAGAATTTTTGGAAGCGAGAAAAAGATATGAAGCTGGGTGGAGACCTGGGCCTTCCAGGCCTACCTGTGTTTCACGTCAGAACCTTTTCTGTCTGGGGACTTCCCTGGTGGTCCAGTGGCTAAGACTCCATGATCCCAATGCAGAGAACCTGGGTTTAATCCCTGGTCAGGAAGCTAGATCCCACATGCCGCAACTAAAAATCCCACATGCCACAATTAAGACCTAGAGCAACCAAGTAAAAAACAAAAACAACCTTTCCATCTTGACTGTGACTATGACCAGCCATGTACCCCCTGAGGTGTCCCCCTTTCCTCCAAAAATTCCTTCTTCCCAAAGTCCCGTTACACCCCTGGCCACACTGCCACCCACATCTGGCTCTGAGTGGCAATGATCAGGAGTACCGTCAGCATGATCTCCAGTCCTCTCCCTGACCAGCTGTGTGCTGTTAGGTAAGTCTCTTCCTCTCCCTGGACTTCCGTTTCCCCTCTTGTAAGATGAGGTGTTGTGTTAGATGATTTTTTTTGAGACGTGTTGAGCTCTGAGATTTTATGAATCAATGAATTTTTAAGAAATCTACTGTCGTCATCATGCTATCATATTGCATTTGGTTTAATTTTATGAACAATGTAAAGTTTTTCCTAAGTTGTGAAATGTGAAAAGTCCCGGCGACTTAAATAACCTTGTCTCCTTTTCCCATAGGACAACCCCATCTTCAGTGTGGGTAGTTGCCTAAGTATTTGTTTACACATTAGACTATGAAGTCTCTGGGGACGGGGACTGCGTCTCATCATTTCTCTTGTCTGGTCTGAGATGACATAAGTGATGGCTGCTTAAGTGGGGAAAATCCCCATGGTTGTAATAGGCTGAAATTCACCACAGTAGGCTAGAAGACTATATGTTATATAACTTTTGGTGCAGACATGTTATATATTTTTGATCAGAGAGATTAAAATGTCTGCTCACTGAGACTCAGATAAGTTCAAATCAAGCCCTCAGCTCTGCTAAAGCCTGTAGAAATACTGGTTATAATCCAGTATGATCACACGGTGGCAGCAGAGAAAAGGGAACAAATAGTTTTTTTGTTTTCCCGTTTAATTAGAAGAGTACAGACTTTGGATTTGAGACATGTGGGTGATGTCTGGCACCATACACGAATCATTTTATTTTCTTTCTTTTTTTCGGAGGTGGGGCAGGCTGAGCAGCTTGCGGGATCTCAGTTTCCCCACCAGGGATTGAACCTGGACTGTAGCAGTGAAAAGTGGGAATCCTAACTGCCAGGTCACCAGGGGACTCTGTGAATCATTTTACAGAATTTGTTTTTAGGAAAGAGAATCAGTAAGTACTACATTCACATGATTTATTAATGAGTAATGAAGAAAACAAATATTGTCTCAGGAATAAACATACATACACTTAACTTTCCATTATGGTCAGTGAAGCCTGAGGGAAAGTTTGGCCAGGGAGAGAAGAGGGAGCACTGGTTTCCTGCCAGGCCCAAGTCCGGAGTCTCAAGCACCTGAGTTCAGGGGACAGCCTTCATGTCCAGATCCCAAAGCCCATGACTTCTTGTCTCTGCCTCCCTTGCCGGTAGAGATGAGAGTTACCAGCATGAGTTCTGACTTACTTTGTGCCAGGTCATTGTGCTAAACCCTTAGATAATTCTCATAACAACCCCAGGGAGATAGTATCACTCTCATTTTATAGCTAAGCAGTTTGCCCAAAGTCAATCATCTAGTAAAGTCAGGACTTAAACCCAGAACTTGGAGTTCTAGAGTCAGGATCTTAGTACGCTCTAATAATGTTTACCCAAAAAGACTTCTGGAAAGAGATAAGGGGTGCTTGTCCAGCGACTGGTGTTAGGGGCTGAATTGTGTCCACCCCAAATTAGTATGTTGAAGTCCTAACCAAACCTCCCTACCCCCTGCCACCCCATGTGACTACAGCTGCAGACTATAGGAAGTAATCAAGGTTGAATGAGGTCATGAGGGTGGGGCCCTAGTCTGAGAGGACTGGTGTCCAAACCGGAAGAGAGCTCTCACCAGAAACCAAACCTGATGGAACCTTGACCTTGGACTTCCAGCCTTTAAAACAGTGACAAATAAATGTCTGCTATTTAAGTCACCCACTCTATGGTATTTTGTTATAGCAGCCAAAACTAAGACACTGATCCCCGTGATTTCTATTCAATAGCGAAGAGAAAAACAGGATTCCTCAGACTTATTTCAAAGGAGAGTTGGCAAGTATATGACTGTTATTAGCATAGCCAATACCATCTTACAGTTTTTCCTGCCCTTCAACTGACCCTACCCAGGACTCGATTGTTCAGTGAATCAGTTCTCTGTTGTCAAGGGCTTTGTATGTAATAGATATTGTTTCATAATCATTAGGACCAGGTAGCCTCTGTGCTCTGTTAGTCCCCAAACAATGATGAAAATCTTCCTTGATGAGTTCCCAGGACCTATGAAGCTAATTACTCATTCATAAATCAGAAAACTAAGATCATGGCATCCGGTCCCATCACTTCATGGCAGATAGATGGGGAAACAGTGGAAACAGTGGCTGACTTTATTTTGGGGGGCTCCAAAATCACTGCAGATGGTGATTGTAGTCATGAAATTTAAAGACGCTTACTCCTTGGAAGGAAAGTTATGACCAACCTAGACAGCATATTAAAAAGCAGAGACATTACTTTGCCAACAAAGGTCCATCTAGTCAAGGCTATGGTTTTTCCAGTGGTCATGTATGGATGTGAGAGCTGGACTATAAAGAAAGCTGAGCACCAAAGAATTGATGCTTTTGAACTGTGGTGTTGGAGAAGACTTTTGAGAGTCCCTTGGACTGCAAGGAGATCCAACCAGTCCATCCTAAAGGAGATCAGTCCTGGGTGTTCATTGGAGAGACTGATGTTGAAGCTGAAACTCCAGTACTTTGGCCACCTGATGTGAAAGGCTGACTCATTGGAAAAGCCCCTGATGCTGGGAGGGATTTGGGGAAGGAGGAGAAGGGGACGACAGAGGATAAGATGGTTGGATGGCATCACTGACTCGATGGACATGGGTTTGGGTGGACTGCAGGAGTTGGTGATGGACAGGGAGGCCTGGTGTGCTGCGGTTCATGGGGTCACAAAGAGTCGGACACAACTGAGCGACTGAACTACACTGAACTGAAATCCTAGGAATGCATGTCCTGTTTCCGAGCACCTGCTGGCATGCCCTATGTGCTTAGTCACTCAGTCATGTCTGACTTTTTGCAACCCCATGGACTGTAGCCCACTAGGTTCCTCTGTCCGTGGGGATTCTCTAGGCAAGAGTACTGGAGTAGGTTGCCATGCCCTCCTTCAGGGCTCCCATGCTCTAGGTTAACTATAAAATTGTCCCAATGCCCCCTTGATGCAGGGTTCAGCTTCGAGTGCTTCTGGATCCTTTTCTGCCAATCACACCTGGTGAGTAAGTTGCCCTACAATAAACTCATTTGTTGATTATTTGGAACTGCCTGCCTCATTTTTCAGTCTGAAGATGCCTTCTCAGTTTGGT